AGCCCTAGCCATCCGCACCAGAGCGCAGACACAGTGCATGCGTGGGGTGCTGGAAACTAGGGAAACAGGACAGTAAGACCTGTGAGCGGGTCCCTGCAGCCGGCGACCCTGGGACAAAGAAAACCGAGTGCTTTTTGAAAGTCTTAAAGAGACAGGGACCCCACAGCTGGATGGAAGCATCTTGGGATACTTAGCCTAGCAGCTGGGAATCCCGGGAAACTCTGGGCACCCTAACACCCTGTGCAGCAGGGAGGCTCGGAGACTCCTCACGGATATAAACAGCCTCCCGGCCTTTTCCACTCCGACGCAGCTCTGCCAGATCGGAACAGCAGACCCAGGCAGGCCATGCCAACAGCAACCTCGGAGCTAAACTCCACAGCGGCCCGGCAACAATCAGAAGCCCTGTCTGTATGCAGCTGCTGAGCACAAGCTGCTAGAGGTCACTGTTCTCCCAGGAGAGGAAGGCCACAAACCAACAAGAAGGGACGTTCTCCCAGCCATCACTTGCGACAGCTCCGCAAACTATCTCTATCGCCATGAAAAGGCAGAAGAATTTGATAGAGACCAAAATCACAACCCCTGAAAAGGAGATAGACATAACCAGTTTTCCTGAAAAAGAATTCAAAATAAAAATCATAAACATGCTGACGGAGATGCAGATAAATATACAAGAGCTAAGGGATGACGTCCAGAGGGAGATTACAGAAGTGAAACAATCCCTGGAAGCATTTATAAGCAGAATGGATAAGATGCAAGAGGCCATTGATGGAATAGAAACCAGAGAACAGGAACACATAGAAGATGACGCAGAGAGAGATAAAAGGATCTCCAAGAATGAGACTTTATTAAGAGAACTGTGTGACCAAACCAAAAGGAACAATATCCACATTATACGGGTACCAGAAGAAGAGAGAGAAAAAGGGATAGAAAGTGTCTTTGAAGAAATAATTGCTGAGAACTTTCCCAAACTGGGGGAGGAAATAGTTGCTCAGACTACGGAGGCACACAGAACTCCCAACAGAAAGGACCCAAAGAGGACAACACCAAGACACATGATAATTAAAATGGCAAAGATCAAAAAAACTAGACACGTCTCTTTGGAGAACAAAAAAATATATCTCAAATACAACAGCCCTCCTAATTTGACTTCTGGCTCAGATGACTGAACAGTTCCAAGCAGTAACTCTCCGAACTGAAAATACTTACTGCCAGCCCTTTTACTCTTCCTTCCTCTTTCCCAAAGAATGTGCTCCCAAAGCTATTCTTTGACAGATCTTTGCTGAACAAACCCTGATGAAAGAAATGTTAGACGTTCTGAAATAATACATTTTCACTGACTCAACAAGCATCTCCTCTGTGGAGGACATAGGAGAACCCACTGAAAATCCGCAATATTCATATATCATGAAGTTGTTGCATATAAACTGCCTTGCTTACTGAAAGTAAGAGAACAAACTCATTCAGTCCCCAGGAATCCTTAACAAAAAAACTATGTTCTTAGAGAACAAAATTTTTAAGTAGCGATTATAAGTTTAGTTTTTATTACACAGGGAACTAGATGGATTACGATTCATAAATTTGGGGCCTAGTTTTCTTCTAACTTTTGGAAATGAGAGATTTATGAGGCTAGGCAGCAACAATGATAAATAGAAATCACTTCAAATTCAGGGGTCCTAAGTGTTATTACATGCCAACTGGGTTTTTAGTTCATTAGTTGTGGGTTAAAGGTAGACATTTCCCTACAACATACGTCAACCAGTAAAACTTTTGACCTATACTTTGAAATATGACTGCTGTATTTTAAAACTTTGAAAAAAACCACATTGAACTATTACAAAAGGAGGGTATTTTATAACAGCAGTGTCCGAATTTCCCCATCACTCAGGTAATTTAAATTTATCCTAGGCACATAATAATAAGACAACTCAAAACAATCTTAACACAAACAGCCAAAACTTCCACTGTCCTCCTCCCTTTTCATTCTTGTGATCTACCAACTCAAGTTGAACAAATAAAGGATGGAAACAGATCACAATTTCATAGTTCCGGGATTTTTCCTTTCTCCCAAATTTAAGTCAACAGCAGCCATAAAAAAGTGATAAAGTGAGGGGGTTCTATACAAAGTATAAAAGATTAAACCGTGACGGATACAAAAAATAAACTGAAAGGTTTAATAATGTTTGAAATGAAATACGCTTATTACATAACAGACAGACTTAAAATATGTTCAACATCATTGTAGCTTCATCCTTACAAAACGTGATCGCAGTTCACTGTCAATCGTTTCCAGTATTCAAACAGTGACTTAAGCACAGCTTAGATGGAAATAATGTACTTACATTGGCACAACAGTAGTCCCAATAGTTTATATTTGAAAACCATTTTTAAGTAACCTATTAAGAATCTTTAGAACTAATGTTCACATTTTCAACTCAATAAGTCTACGGGTTAGTTTGCTTTTTGGTTTGTTTGTTGGTTTGGGGGTGGAGGTAGGGACCAAAACCAACATACATAATTTCCAGAGCAGACTATATATGGTATTACACAAGTCAATTTTCAAATTCCAGATTTGCTTTTTTCAGCAATGCCTTCATTCTGTTAACAAAAGTGGCCTCCTGTATATTTCTACAAGTCCATTTATAACATAGTCAACGTACAGGAATAATAATTTCCCATGAGTGCAGTTGGGGTGGGGGTGAGGGTGGGCATCCTTATGGAGCTAATAGTAGTACTGTCCCATGGTGTGAGAGTAAAGTTTCTCTCTCACTGACACTTTCTCTCAATTTCACCTCCCCCAGTACGATTTCATTCATAATCTGGATTTTTAAGCCGGAAAGTTATTATGGGCAATCCAAAATAACCCAAGGAACTTGCTAAAGTTCTATCAGTGAGCAGCTTCTTACTGAAGGGCTGAAGGAATTAAATAGAAGGCACAGTAGCACTGAAAGCTTTCAGATCACAGTAATCTGTTTGTGTATATATTTGTGTGTGTGTGTGTGTGTGTATATCCCACACTTTCTTTCTTGTTGTTAAAAATGTCTGCTGAACGATTAGAAAATCCTTATTTCTCATCTTTCCCTTTAGTTTTTCTGTATATCATCTCTCGAAAACTGGCCAGAATCTTGTTTTCTCTCTTTCGCCTCTCTTCTTGGTTAAAGGATGCCAGGGCTCTCTTCTCATCAGCACTATAGATCTGGTTTTCTTTCCGCAGTCGCACAGCCTCCATCCGGCGATGCCTGGAGATAATTTTATTTTTGGCTTAATTTCTCAGTAATTATCCTCATGGTACTTCCACACTAATCCTTTTTAAATAAAGGGTGCTCTATTTTGAAAGCTGACAAATAGAAACTGTTCTTGTTATGGGTTCAATTTTTAAAAGATCATTTATTTGTTTGACCAACTGATGCATCCTTTGATTCATTTCTAGTACTCAAATAACGATTTCTGATGCTCTGTCAACATCAGGAATGTCATTAATTTCAGATACTACAGGCATAAGTCTATTTCTGTTGTTTCCAGTAGAACAATCAGAAATGGGCAAATGATTAAACTTTCTAGATGATATGTAGCATTTGCCTTTGTGGAATTAATAGCAGGACAGATGAAAGACTTAAGCTGATGATCAGCTGGAACTTTTTCAAGGTTCTAATTTATCACATAACCAAATGAACCAAGTCTAAATCGATAGCTGAGTTTCTGGTGAGTTTTATGAATGGATTTAACTTCCTTAGAATCCAGTAGTAGCTCAGAAAGAAGAAAGAAGAAGAGATTTAGCACAAGGGCCAAATAAGGGAGTATAAGGGCAGAGGCAGAGGGAAACCATTACATTACTTTCAAAAGGCCTACTGATTTGGAGGGAAAATTTCATGAAAACTTGCCTCCTCCTTAATGTACAGTTGACGCTTGAACAACATGGATTTGAAGGTCCACTTATATGCAGATTATTTTCAATAAATATACTTAAAAGTTCTTTGTAGATTTGTAACAATTTGAAAGAACATTTTCTTTCCTTTAGCTGATTTTATTGTTAAGAATACAACGGTATATAATATGCATAACATACAAAATATGTGTTTATGTTATCAGTAAGGCTTCCGGGCAACAGGAGGCTACTCATATAAAGCTTTTCGGGAATCAAAAGTTATATCATCTCCGACTGCATGGGGATTGGTACCCCAACTCCCGCACTGTTCAAGGGTCAACTGTGTATGTAACTCAATCCTACACAACCGGTTCAAAATGAAGCTTTAGCTATGTCTAGGAAAATAGAGAAAACCAAGTAAGGGCAAGAGGGGAAAATCATTTTAAGTTAGTGTGAAGCTCGGGGAGTGACAGGATGGAGAGCTAAAGAGATGACAATGCATTCAGGTTGCTCAGGGTACAGTGAGCAGGGCAGTTAATTTGGAACAAGAAGTGCTACGTGAACGACGCTGTAATAAACATCTATGCTCACATCTCCTAGTACATGGAAAGATTTTCTCCTGAGTTTCTAGGTATGGAGTTGCTGGGTCAGAAAGCATATGAATGCTCAACTTCCCAAGACAATGTCACACTGTTTTTCAAAAATGACTGTACCAATTTACACCACCATTGGCAATATTTAAGAGATCCTGTAGATCCACATCCTCTCAAATGCCTGGTATTGTCTGACTTTTTGTCTCTCAAATGGGTGTAAAACGGTACATCAGTATGCTCTTGATCTTCATTTGCCATGATAATGAGTATTTTTTGTATATGTGTAGGCCATATATATTTCTTCTTCTATCGAATGCCTGTTTGTGTCTTTCTCTCATTCTTCTTTTGAGTTATTTACAGGTACTCTTTAAAGATTCTCAGTACTAACTCTTTATCGGTTGTGTGTACTGCAAGACGTTATCCTAGCTTGGAACTCATCTTTTTACTTAAGATGTGTTTTGATGAACAAAGTTCTTATTTTTAACGTAGGTAAATTCATCAACATTTTATTTTGATCAGTATATGTTTTATTGTCTTCCTTAAGAAATGCTTTCCCACCCCAAGATCTAATAGATATCTGCTCATATTTCATACTAAGAGTGTTACAGTTGTTTTGACATTTAAGTCCTTCAGCTGTACTGATTTTGGTGAGGGTTCTACTTTGTTTTCCATATGGATAACCGTTTTTTCCTCCTCCATTTACTGAACATACCTTTCTTTCCCCACTGATCTGACACGCCATCTCTTTCATACAACGATGTTCCATACACGTATGGCTCTGCCTCTGGGCTCTGTATTTCATCCCACTGAACAATTCGTTTGTTCCCTCCATGCTTTCTAAAGTGCCATGTTTCATAATAGATCCTCATGTCTGGTAGGGCAAATCTCATCTTCCTATTCTTCTTCAGAAGTGACCTGGCCAATCTTCTTGACTCTCTGGTCTGATGTATCAATTTTAGAGCCATCTTATTAGTGCTTTATAGTTTTCCCTACAGAGGCGTTGGATGTCTTTTGTTAAGGTTTATTCCTCAATCCTTCATATTCTCTGATCCTATTATAAATGTTTTCTTTTTACTTAATTACATTTTCTAGTTGTTTGCTGGTGCACAGAAATGCAGCTGATTTTTGCGTTGGATAACCTTATCCTTATACCCAACCATTTGTTACTCCCTTCTATTATTTATAATTCATCTGAAGATTCTTTAGGATGTGTCTATGAAAAAATCCATACTTCCTACGTAAAATCATTTTTCTATGCAAAAAATCATTTTCACAAAAAATGAGTGTTTATATCGTCCTTTCCAATCCTTATGGCTCTAATTTATTTTCTTATCCTACTGTGCTGCAACTCAGATGTAACATTTTCAAATATTGTTCCTCAGAATTCCAAGATTCTGGGGTTGCTCCACGGGTTCTGCACACATTTGCCTCCAACGTCATTTAAAAATAGTTACCTACTTTAAAAGCTCATAAAAATTTTAAAAATCCAAAATTCAGTTTGATTTTGGTCCTGATGCCCCATCAGTTCATTCTTCCTGTCCCTCCTGGTACTTTGCTTTTTCTTCCATAACTTTATATTCATTTCCCCATGCTGAATCTGATGTCTGTCATTACCATTTTCTGCTCTCCAGTCTCAGTGTCCACAGACAACTACAGGGTCCATGTTCTCTGACTCCACAGAGGACTGGAGGCAAACTCAGAAAACAGGAACACTGACTTACGAAAATGCTTTCCTAACTACCAGAATGCCACATTCCTCATAGGGCAGTGACAAATACCTGAATTTAACTATATCCTCAGAGGATAAACTGTCTAAACTAAAAGACAAACTAGGAAAGGACACTGGAAAGACTGATTCTTTGAAGCTGGAGATACAGCTGAGTTTGAGGCAGAGGGACATACATATTTGGAATTTTAGACAACCACGTTTGTAACGATAAAACCAATACTAAACTAATATCTATGTTCTACTTTTCATTTGGAATGGTCACTTAATGAAAATCAATCACCAAAATATAATTCTGGAAGTAAGAAAGAGGAAAAGATCTAATCATGGAAACTGACCTCAATGGCAAGGACATACCTGCTACCACTCATTACATAGCCCGAGCGCTCAAATGATGCAATCTCTTCACTTGTCAAGCCAATTTCACCTCTTCGTGGGATACGTTTTCCAGCTTTTACATATTCAGCCATAGCTGCACCTTCACCAGGTAGCAGGGCATGGCCATAGCTACAAAGTAATTCAGAATTCAGAAAAGGTTCATTACAAAAAGGTGATCTTCTACACCAAAAAATACCCCCACTTTCTCTCACAAAACAGTAGGAATAACTTGCTGAGAGGCAGCATGCTGGGAAACCCAATATTACTTTACTTTAATTAGTGAACATTGCACTGTGACCTATATAACTATCCAGAAATACAGACATACTTTGGAAGAACAAAAGAACTATGGTAGTGAGAGTACAGATTCATGGTTTACAATTGTGGATCAATTTATCCCTACAGACCATGAGTTTATGGCTTCTGCCTCTAGCGAATTCCTTTTCCCTTAAAAAAAAAAAAAAAAAAAAGTAAAGAAATAATATATCTCTGGAAGCAACCAAAGTGTCCATCAACAGATGAATGAATAAAGAAGATGTGGTACATATAGACAATGCAATATTATTCAGCCATAAAAAAAAAAAAGAAAGAAACCCGGCCATTTGCGACAACATGGACAAATAAGCCAGGCAGAGAAAGACAAATACCATACGACTTGTCTGTGGTATCTAAAAACAATACAAAACAAAATGAACAAAACAGCAGTAGACTCAAGAGACACAGAGCTAAGTGACTGGTGGTTACCATGGGGGAAGGGTTGGGGTGGGTGAGTGGGGAGGGTGAGAGAGAGAAAGGGGCACAAAAATCTCGATCATAATGTAAGTAGGTCACGGGGATGGAAGTGCAGCATGGAGAATACAGTCAATGATTCTGTAACATCTTCCTATGTTGACAGATAGTAACTGCACTAGTTGGGGTGGGGATTTAATAATGTGTGTAACTCCTGAAGTACTGTGCTGTATACTTGAAACCAACATAATATTGTGTATCAACTATACTTCAATAAAAAAAGAAAAAATATATCTCAAATCTACATACTTTTTAGACTTATAACCAATAATAATGCTATATAATAACAACTATCTATTAACGTTCATTCAAGGGGACTTTAAAAACTACCATCCCTTCATTTAATTCATTGAACACTTCTTGAATACCTATTAAACTCAAAGCTTGTAATACAAAAGTAATCTCTGTTCTTGTGGAATTTACATATTAATAAGGATATTAACAGCAACACAAAATAGAATATACAATACACTGCACAAAAGAAATAGAAAATGCCGTGAAGACTACAGGATTGAAGAGGGGTAGGAATCCCACCTACTTGTGGAGGAAAGGTACTGGGAATCTGCACATGCCCCCTCCTTTTGAAAAGGGCTTTGAAGGAAGGTAAGGATTTTAACAGGACGAGATTGGAGGCAGCAAAGAATCCAGGGGCCGGGAATAGAAGGGAAGGCATGTTGGGAGAAGAAATAAGGTGAACAAGGCACAACGTGGGAAAGTGAACAGTAAATACAGGGAAGTTTTAGTTCTGCTCAGTTGGAACCTGGGGTATAAATAAAGGAGTAGAAGGAGATAAGCTTAGAAAGGTAAGTTAGGGCCATACTTTTGGGAAGGTACTTTAGATATTATAAATACACTGTTACTTACTTCAAAAGTTTATCATCTTGAGAGGCAAGTGTTTTTGGAGCCTCTGGGCCAATTAAATCTGAGGGTTCTTCAGGCTCTGCATGAAAGATGTTCAGAAACATACTCACACTTTGATTACTCAGTTAGTATGCTTTCTGGGTTTTGAATCTGGGTCTATCAGAAGCACCTACTTGATCGATCCTTCCAGGGATACTCCAGAAACTCTTCTTGAGAATCTTTAGAGCTTGAATCACTGGAATCTTTTCTGCTCTTCTTCGATTCCTTTTTCTTATATTTCTTCCTGTAATGATTATAATTTGATACAAATTGACTTAATATTCCCATGTTAAAGGCCATCTCATTTTTTCAAGGCAATGAAAAGCCTGATCAAAATGATTTAAATTCTCATCTTATTCAAACTTGTTAAAGAATTTTAATTAAAAAATTTTTCTAACTTATTTAACTAAATCATGTTTCCCTATTAAAAAGATCCCTACAGGGACAAATGAAATACAATTTTCATGTTACAGAAAGATAATACGAATAAAGTGTATAAAAAAAGCTTTTACCAATTTGAGCATCAATAAGTGTAATAGCTTAAAAATATATCAAATGTGTGTTCATAATGATATTGAAAAAACCCAAATCACTATTTTGAAAACTCATAAAACAAAAAAAAAAATTTTGAAGTAAGCCATTATCCTGCCCTTCTTATATAAACTATATTTCTTCTTCTTTTTTTTTTTTTTAAGTAGGTTAAAACTATATTAAACAACTTATATTCAAGGTAAAGTAAGTGGGACAAATTTGGTGAAATGAACCCAATGTTAATTCTAGTTTGTTTGATTTTTAGATCATAAATACAGGTTCTACTACATAGCTCTGAGGCACTATATTAAATATAAATATATCAGCAATGCCATAGTTCTAATTACAGTCATTATTAAAAAATAGATTCATATGGTTACAATTCAGCATAACTCGATTTGATTTACTAGCCAATTACCTATCTTTTCTTTTCTTTTCTTTTTTTTTTTTGAGAGGGCATCTCTCATATTTATTGATCAAATGGTTGTTAACAACAATAAAATTCTGTATAGGGGACTCAATGCACAATCATTAATCAACCCCAAGCCTAATTCTCAAATAAACTATATTTCGAGGTAACCAAATAGCCGAGGGTAGGCTCCTCTTATAGAATTATGCTACCTAATAAATGAAGAATGCAAGCCAGAACTAGACCACCACCGTTTTGCAATCCCACTTAGGCAATGACCATCAATGGCTGTTAATATGACAAAAAGAGACAACCAGACATTATTTTCCTCCTGATAGAAGTATACAATACCACCCAAAAAGTATTCCTGCCAAAAACTCACATCTGAACCTCATCAAGTCTCTAGACCGAACTATCAATCTATAGGAAACACAAAAGACAGAGAACGTGTTAAAAGGACACTATAAGAGTACGATCAGCAAAATCCATACTGCAGGAAATTCTAAGGTAAATGATTTGGTTTCTTCAATGAATACAGTGCAGGAACAAAAAGGGAAGGGGAACTTATTGATGTAAAGAGATGTACAAGATACATCAACCAATGGCAATTTGGATCCTGATTTGAATAAACTGGACAAAAAACTGAGAACTGGCAAATTACTGTTAAATATTTCAGGCATGATAACAGTACTGTGGTTACGGTTTTTTTTAAAAAAAAAAAGAACGTCTATCTTTTAGAGAAACATGCTGGTTTATGGATGAAATGATAATCTGGGATTGGTTTCAAAATAATGGGGGCAGTGGAGACTTCCCATGAGTTGATAATTATCAAGCTGGGTGATAGTTACATGGGGGATCATCATATTATTTTATTTGATATCTTATGTAATTTTATATATATTTGAACTTCTCATAATAAAAATTGAAGGAAAAAACTGACGATTTGTGTTTCTTCTTCTTTTCCTTTTTCTTGGCTTTCTTTGCTCTCCTTTTTGCATCTTCATCTGCACATTAAACCACATTATAGTTAAAAAAAAAATTAAACTCTAAAACCCCAAAACTTTTGAGTAGATAAATATCCTATTGCCCTATTTGTTGTCACATAGAAATTAATTCAAACATTAATTGCTACTCATCACGAAATGTGCTAGGCATTGGGGACACAGAATTAAAGCCACACCGAGTTTTCAGTGATATAGGGCGTTATTATTAATTTTATTGTATGAGATAATAGTATTGTGATTAAGTAGGAAATGTCCTTATTTTTCAAGGTGTGTATAGAAATATTTAGGATGGTACAGTGATATTTGTAATTTACTTTGAATTATCTCCACAAAAAACTCACATTTGAAACAAATATGGCAAAATACTAACAAATGTTAAACCTTGGGTGCTCTGGGCACATAGAGGAGTCTCAAAAGCAGGCTGATTTGGGGAGGGTGATTGAGGAATGGTTGCCCAGGAAAAGGTGATTCTTAAGCTAGTTCTTTTAAACATCAGTTGTTTTACAAAAGCAACGCACGCCCATTGCCAAGATGAGTAAGCCAAGCCACATGCAGGGAGGGTCTGGTGTCGTAGGCAGACAGACTCCCTGTACCAAGTAACAGAATCAAGAGAAAGGCCATGGAATATTGAGGAGACAGAAAGTAGTTCTCAGGCTACAGGATGCTGCAAGAGAGAGACCCAGGTCCATGTGATTACTGAGGCATCGGTCGGGGCCCAACTTCACCCTGACGGCTATGGAGAGCTCCTGAAGGACTTTAAGTAGGGGACTGACCTGCTCAGATTTGTGCTTTAAAAAAGTTCAGTCTTCCGGCGGGGAGGAAGGAGAGTGACAAGGGGGGCCAGGAAACCCTGGTGACATCAGAGGAAGGAGCACCTTTGTGTCATGTGTCCCCAGTGGAGGCACCCTCTGGTCCAGCATCAGCCCGGAGAGGGCACAAAAGGGTGGCTTTTTGTGATGTGCCGCCCCACAGGAGGTGTCTTTCATAATCAGCTGCCGGGAAGGGGTCTTATATGATGTGCCTTTTTGAAAACTGCACAAAGGTGCCCACTGAGTGTGAGAATTTCACAGAAGAGCTGCTCCGCTGGGCAGATGCAGCCTGTACGGTTTGGTTCAGCACCACACGTCTCATAACCCAACCCCAACTTGCTCCGGTGCCACATGCCTTGTGCGATTACACACAACCAATCTGGCTGGAGCCATACTGCTTAGAGGTGTGAATCCCAACTGTGTGTCCCTGAGTGTGGTGCTTAGAACCTGTTCTGTGCCTCCATTTCCCATCTCTGAGATGTATCCTACAGTTACCACTGTGTGGACTGAACAGCAATAACGAACGAATATCAAGCACTTAGCAGGGTGGCTGGCACTGTGAGCGAGTGCTCAGAAACTCTTGTCCCTTATTGTTGTTTTTAAGAACCTTCCTCTAAAATAAGCTTGAAGAAGTACAACTTGGTTTGAAGCAAGGCTTGCAGAATGATGCTGCCTTTCTTACCACTGGAGTCTGTTTCAGAATCAGAGTCACTGTCACTATCGTCAGAATCGTCAGAAGACTTCTTGTGTTTTCTTTTAGATGATTTTTTCTTTCTCCTTTTCTTGGACCTTTCTTTTGAATGACTGGATTTCTTCTTCTTCTTCTTTTCTTCTACAGAAAACAGAAATAAAAAAATAACTTCTAAAGAAGAATTTCTGAGTATCAATTTTATTATATTTGAAATACTGAAAAGGAATAGACGACAGGCAATTTGAGTAAAAGCAAAGTCTAATGTTCAACTATTTATAAATGTATTTTGTAACTCCTCAATAAAAAAAAGCTCTGTATTTAAAGAATACCTCCTGAGGTAGAAGATGAAGTGGTACTTTTCTTTGGCTCTTCATCCTCTACTGGTGTATGTTCATCAGAGCTGAATTTAAAGAAAACAGTTATAAGCATCAGAAAAGTGATGAAATGGAGTATAAAGTACAGACTTGACAATTTTCAGGAACAAATTGATTGAGAAGCATTAAAAGCAAACACTGGACTGCATTTGCAATTGTACAGTTCAAAGTTCTACCACCTTCACAAAAATATAATAATCGTTTACATTGCATAATGCTTTAGAGGTTACAAAGTGCTACTTACTGAAAGCAGCACATAAGATTAGTATTTTCAGAAGAAACCACCGGGTAAAGGTCATGAACCACAAGGAAAGTCAAAGAACTGGAGTCAAGAAGGCTGCGGGAGGACTTCCCAACTGTGTTCTCTGTGTGCAAAGGCCACACGGCAGAGCAGCACCTGTCTGTCTCCCCAGAGCACGAAGCACCTGACAAACTACAACAGAAGATTTCATTCTGTTGCAAAAAATTCTGAAAATGAGCGTCATTAAAATTCTACAATAATTTAAAAGGGAATTTCTATAGCATATAATCTTTTCCTCTGAAGATCACATCTGGAATAATTCAGGTATTGCCTAGAAATTATTTTTAGGGTTCCTTCCAACTCTAATTCTTCGAGTGCAGATTCTCTGAGTGTTTTCCAAAGGCTTCTATAGGAATAACTTCAGATAATAATGCTTTATCACCCTGTCACAAATGACAAGTTTACCTGTCAAACTCACTGTATCAACTCAACCTAAAGATGACACAGAAAGGGAAGAGAGCGAAGAACCTCATGAATAGCACACCAAAGAGAAAAAAAAAAAACAGGAGAAAGAGAAAGCATTAGGCCTTCAGATAATTGGATATAGGAAAATCATCTGAACAAAACCATATCAGTATATTCATTTAAAGAAATGCCTCTCGGAATAGAATAGAGAGCTCAGAAAAAAACCTACTCATATACGGTCAATGAGTTTACAACAAAGGAGGCAAGAATATACAATCGGGAAGGACAGTCTTTTCAGTAAATGGTACTGGGAAAACTGGACAGCCACATGCAAAAGAATGAAAATGGACCACTATCTCACACCATACGCAAACATTATTCAAAGTGGATTAAAGACTTGAATTTAAGACCTAAAACCACAAAACTCCCAGAAGGAAACACAGGTGGTTAGTTCCTTCACATAGGTCTTGGAGATGATTTTAAATCTGACACACCAAAAGCATAAGCAAAGGAAGCAAAAATAAGCAAGTGGGACTGTATCAAGCTAAAAACTTCAGAGCAAAGGAAACCATCAACAATGAAAATACACTGGGAGAAATTATTTGCAAATCATGTATCTGATAAGGGGTTAATATCCAAAATATATAAAGAACTCATACAATTCAGTGGTAGAAAACAAAAGTAAACTAATCACGAGGATAAAACTACAGGATAGGGAATATAGTCAATAATAGTGTAGTATCTTTGTGTGACAGCTTATCAGAGTGAGCATTTAGTAATGTATTTCATTTCTGAATCACTGCGTTTTATGCCTGAAACCAATGTAATGTTGTCTATCAACTACACTTCAATAAGAAAAAATAGCAATAGCAAAAAACCAGGCAATCCAATTAAAAAATGAGCAGAGGATCTGAATAGACATTTTCCCAAAGAAGACATATCGATGGCAAACAGGTACACGAAAAGATGCTGAACTTCAGTAATTATCAGGGAAATGCAGGTAACATCTCACACCTGTTAGAAGAGCTATTACCAAAAACCCAAGAAGTAACAAGTGTTGGTGAGAATGTGGAGAAAAGGGAACCCTCATGCACTGTTGGTGGGAATGTAAATTGGTACAGCCACTCTGGAAAACAGTAAGGAGGTTCCTTAAAAATTAAAAATAGAACTACTATATAGTCCAGCAATTCCACTTCCAGGTATTTATCTGAAGAAAACAAAACACCAACTTGAAAAGATATATGCACCCCCATGTTCACAGCAGCATTATTTACAATAGCTACGATATGGAAACAACATAAGCGTCCACTGGTGGATGAATGAATGAAGAAAATGTCGTATAGGAGAGGGGATCAACATGGCAGAATAGGAATATCGTGAGCCTATTTCCTTCCATGGACACACCAAAATCTTCAACTACCTGTAGAGCTACTATCCCTGAGAAAAAACCGACCACTAGCAGAACAGACCTTACACCACTAAGGACATAAAGAGAAAGCCACAGTGCGACAGGTAGGAGGAATAGAGACATGGTCTAGTCAGAATGCACACCCCTGGGTTGGTGACCCACAAGGAGGAGGGATATCATGACCACAGAGGCCCTCTCTGAGGAACAAGAGGTCCAAGCCCAACAGCCAGGTGGACCTGCACTGGGAAGATGAGCACCCATAATGTCTGGCTTTGAAAACCAATAGGACTTATGTCTGGGATACCCAGAGGGCAGAAAGAAACTGAGACTCCACTCTTAAATGGTGTGCATACAATGTCCCTTGCTCCGAGTCTCAGTGCAGAGGCAGCATTTTGAAAAGTGCCTGGGTTACACATGAAAGAGACCTATTGGCTAATTTTGGGGCATGTGCTAGCAGGGCAGGGATCTGTTGGAATTTTCTCAAGGGATGGAAAGGTTGATGGGACACCATTTTCTTTTCACTTCCCTTCTACCTAGCTGGCCTGGTGCTGGCAGGTGCCATTTCTGACCTCTCCATCGACTGTAGTGGAACGGCTTGCATGTCCTTGGTGTTCCCCTGCAGACTTGTCCCACTAACCTGCCTGCCCTGGCACTCCTCCCAATTAGCTCTTCACCCTGCCACACCAGGTGGACGACCCTGGCCAGCACCAGTACAGCCGCTAAGTGGCTAAGTGTTCCCACCCCAGAGTATCAGCCCTGCACACTAGAACACCTGCAACATTCATAGCTGGACCTCGCAGCCACCCACACACCAGAGGCCTGTCCCACACACCAGTGCCAGTAGCTATCGCAGATGGGCCTCACAGCCGGTTGCACTGAAGGCCAACCCTGCCCACCAGTGGGCTGCAGCAACTGCAGATGGGCCAGGTGCCAGCCCCACACCCCAGCATGTTGTAGCACTCACAGTCAGGCCTAGCAGACAGTGGACCAGGGTACAGCCCTGTGCGTCAGCACATGTCTACACCAGCTGTGACCCAGGCAGAACAGGAGGGTGTACGCAGCTGACACAGGGGACTCCCCTGTGCCACCTGACTCAAGTGACCAGGGAGGTCTGCACTGGCAGGCCCCATAGGATATCTTCTGCATAAAGCCACTCCTTTAAGACCAGGAAATATAACCGATCTACCTAATACATAGAAACAAAGACAGAGAATCAGACAAAATGAAGAAATGAGTATACTCCAAAGGGAAGGTAAGACAAAACCTCAGAAAAAGAACTGAATGAAACAGAGGATAAGCAATCCACCAGATAAAGAGTTCAAAGTAATGGTCATAAAGATGCTCACCAAACTCAGAAGGAGAATGGATGGACACAGTGAGAACTTCAATAAAGAGATAAAAAAACATATTTAAAAAAAAAACATTCAGAGCTAAAGAGTAACTAAAATGAAAAACACATTAGAGATGATATTTATATTAGAGCACATATATACATACATATATATATATTTTTATATATATATACGTGTGTGTGTGTATATATATGTGTGTGTGTATATATATGTGTGTGTGTGTGTGTGTGTGTGTGTGTGTGTGTGTGTATGTATGTATGTATGTATGTATATATATGCTGTATGGGAAAATATATTTGCAACTGATATATCCAATAAGGGATAAATATCCAATGTATTGGTGGAACTGAATAGACATTTTTTTGTCTATTTAGTTGGCCAACAAACACATGAAAAGATGCTCCACATCACTAGTCATCAGGGAAATGCAAATCACAATTACACTGAGCTATCACCTCACACCTGTCAGAAGGGCCACTATCCAAAAGACAAGAAACAGCAAGTGTTGGCAAGGATGCGGAGAAAAGGGAACTCTTGTGTACTGTTGGCGGGAATGCAAAATGGTGCAGCCGCTGTGGAAAACAGCATGGAGATTTACTCAAAAAATTAAAAACAGCAATATCATACAATCCAGTAATTCCACTTCTGTATTGACCCGAGAAAAATGAAAATACTAATTTGAAAATGTACATGAACCTATATGGACAATAGCCAAGATATGGAACCAACCTAAGTGTCCATCGATAGATGAATGGATAAAGATGTGGCACATATACACAAAGGAATATAACTCAGCCATAAAAGAGAATGAAATCTTGCTATTTGAGACATCATGGATGGACCTAGAGGGTATTATGCTAGGTGGAATAAGTCAGACACAGAAACACAAATACCATATGATTTCACTTACACATGGAATCTAAGAAACAAACAAACAAACAACAAACCTAGAAACAGACTCATACATACAGAGAACAAACTGGTGGCTGCCAGAGGGGTGGGCAGTGGGGAAAGTGAAATAAATGAAGGGGATTAAGAAGTACAAATTTCCAGTTACAAAATAAATAAATCATGGGGAATACAGCCGATAATAGTGTTATACATTTGTATGGTGACAGATGGTAACAACACTTCTCATGGTGAGCATTTTGTAATGCATATAAACGTCAAATCACTATGCTGTACACCTGAAACTAGTGTGTCGACGATACGTCAATAAAAAATATTTTTTTTAATTAAGAGGGTTATCAACAGCAGATTAAATGATGCAGAAGAATGGCTCAGTGATCTGAAAGGTACAGTGGTGAACCAGGAAAAAGAAAAAAAATTTTTTAAATGAGGATATTAAGCTTAAGGGACCTTTGGGACATCAAACATACTAACATTCATATTGTCAGGGTTTCAGGAGAAGAATGAAAGAAACAGAAAACCTACATGAAGAAATAATATCTAAAGGCTTTCCAAACTTGATGAAGGAGATATCCAAGTCCAGGAAGCAAAGAGAGTCCTAAATAAGATGGACCAAAAGTGATTCACACCACCACACACTATAATCAACATGTAAACAGTTGAAGACAGAGAATCTTAAAAGCAGTAAGAGAAAAACAACTAGTTACACGTAAGTGTACCCCCAAAAACACTAGGAACTAAGTAAAAAAAAATTTTTGGATGTACTTTGTTGTATAGTTGACATACAATATCACAATGGTTTCAAGTATACAATGCAGTGATTCAACAGTTATACACATCATTAAATCCTCACCCCAACTAGTGTGATTACCATCTGTCAACACAGAAATGTTACAGAATTGACTATATTCTCTATGCTATACTTTCATCCCTGATTTTGTGTCTCTTTATCTCCCCCCACATATTTCACCCCACCCCCCACCCCCAACCTTTCCCCCATGGTAACCACGAGCCACCTCTCAGTGTCTCAGAGTCTATTGTTTCGTTTGCTTTGTTTGGTTTTTAGAGTCCACATACAAGTGAAATCATATGGCATCTTTTTCTGCCCGGCTTATTTCACTCAGCATAATACCCTCTAAGTCCATCCATGTTGTTGCAAATGGAAGGATTTCTTTCTTTTTTATCGTTTGAGTAATATTCCATTGTATATGTGTACCATATCTTCTTTATCCATTCATCTATTGACTGACACTTAGGTTACTTCCATATCTTGGCTACTGTAAATAACATGAAACAAACATGGGGTGCATATATCTTTTTGAATCAGAGTTTGTGATTTTTTTCAGGCAAATTCCTAGAAGTAGAATTACTGAGTCATATGGTATTTCTACTTTTAGTCTTTTGAGGAACCTCCATACTGCTTTCCACAATGGCTGCACCAATTTATATTCCCACCAGCAGTGTAGGGGGGTTCCCATTTCTCCACATCCTCACCAATACTTGTTATTTCTTGAATGAGCTGAATTCTCAGCAGAAACTTTACAGGCCAGAAAGGAGTGGCATGATATATTCAATGCACTGAAAAAAAATTCACAACCAACAATATTCTACCCAGCAAGGTTCTCACTCAGTATTGAAGGAGAATAGGGAGTTTCCCAGACAAGTAAGAGCTAAAGGAGCTCATCAACACCAAACCAGTCCTTTAAAAAATGTTAAAGGGACTTATGTAATGGAAAAGAAAAGGCCATACCTAGAAACAGAAGAATTATGAAAGGAAAATCGCAATGGCAAAGGTAAACATACAGTAAAAAATAGTGCATCAACCACCTACAAAGCTAGTACGAAGGTTAAAAGACAAAAGTAGCTGAGTTAATTATATCTACAGTAATTACTTAAGAGACGCACAAAATAATAAGATGTAAAATATGACACCAAATACATAAAACATGGGTGGAGTGGGGCAAGTAAATTTGTAGTGCATTTAGAATGTGTTGGAACTTAAGGGACTATCACCTTACAATAGACAGCTCTATACATATGATGTTATATATGAACCTCATGGTAACAACAAACCAAATACCTATAATAGATAAACAAAAATAAAGAGAAGGAACACAAACATAACACTGAAGAAAGCCATCAAATCACAAGGGAAGAGAGCAAGAGAAGAAAAGAAGAAAGAAGAACTACAAAAACAATGGCAATTAGTACACACCTACAAGTAATTACTTCCAATGTAAATGGACTAAATGCTCCAAGCAAAAGACACTGGGTAACTCAATGGACAAAAAACAAGACCTATCTATATGCTGCTTACAGGAGACTCACTTCAAACCTAAAGACACAAACAGACTAAATGTGAAGGTGCTGAAGTGATAGAACTTTCAATCTGAATGTGTAAAGCTGAGGTAGCAAGACTTACATCAGACAAAACAGACTTTGAAACGAAGACTGTACGTAACAAGGGACAAAGAAGGGCCTTACATAACTAACGATAAGGGGGCCGATCTAAGAAGAGGTTATAATAACTGTAAATACCTAGGAATCCAACATAGGGGTAGCTAAATATATAAATATTAACAGGCATAAAGGAAGAATCTGACAGTAATACAGTAATAGTAGGGGACTTTAACACCCCATTTACATCAACAGACTGATCATCCAGACAGAAAATCGGTAAGGAAACACTGGCTTTGAACAACACATTCGACCAAACGGACTTAACATATACAGAACATTACATCTCAAACAGCAGAACACACATTCTTCTCAAATGCACATGGAACAGTCCCCAGGACAAATCACGTGTTAGGCCACAAAACCAGTCTCAGTAAATTTTAAAAAATCGAAATCACTGAAATAAACTTAGGAAGACTGAAAATTTTCTGACCATGATGGTATGAAACTAGAAATCAATTACAAGGAGAAAAACTGGAAAGAACACAAACAGATGGAAGCTAAACAGCATGTTACTAAACAACCAATGGGTCAAAGAAAATATCACAGGAAATTAAAAAATACCTGTAGAATAATGAAGACAGAAACACAACGGTTCAAAATCTTTGGGATGCAAAAATAACGGTTCTAAGAGGGAATAGCAATACAGTCCTACCTCAAGAAACAAGAAAAATCTCAAATAAACAATCTAACCTTACACCTAACTGAATTAGAAAGAAAAAGATCACCCAAAGTTAGTAAAAGGAAGAAAAAAGGAAAGATCAAAGCAGAAATAAATGAATTAAGAGACTAGAAAACAACACCAAAAAAAAAAAAAAAAA